AGCATTAAAATGTCTGTATCCTTCACTTAAGAAAACAACATACTAAATTTAGGGAGTACATACAGAATTAAATCATGTTTGAGTCAGTCCACATACATTTACACTATATATACCTTATCTAAGAATAGCCATAATCTGTCAGACCAAATATCCATCTAGTCAAGTAGCCATCTTCATGTACAGCCATAAGAAGGTGAGTAGGAGAGATTTCAAAGAGGACAAAAACATGTGATACTTACATGTGATGTTGTCTTTGCCTCCAGTTATTTTCAGCACGGGGCCTTCTGTAGCCAGATGTGGTGCCTGTGTACATGATAACTGCAGTGGACTTCTCCTCACTGAACTTATCCAGTCCTGCCTTGAATTTGTAAAAAAATTTTGTGCCCCCAGCATCCTTTGCTAAGGATCAACAAGTCAACTATGACTCTACTGGTTTTATTTGAGATGTCTTACTCTTGTTCTTGGAAGAAGTAGTGAAACACTGATCTTTACCCACCCATCTCCATGTTATTTGTGCTGTTATATGTCACCACCATGTCCTGCCTCAACCACCTATTTTCCCACCTAGAGTCCTACTTTACCTAGTCCCATCTTACTTAAAGGGAAGTCCTTCCATATCTCATCACTCTTGTTACTCTTCTCTGAACTCCAGTCTTTTCTGAAATGATGGGATCTGAACTGCACATAACAGGCAAATGTCAGCAAACAAAGTTATTTATGCAGTAGCTCAACAGCACTGTTTCTTTTTTTCCATAGTTTTCCTATTACATCTTAACAATTTAATTACTTTTTGACGGCTGTGAAGCAATTAGCTGATATTTTCATGGAACTGTCTATCACAAACTAAAGATTTAATTCCTGGAAAGGATCTGCTGGTAATGTCTGGCCCAGAGTCCACCATTCTTAGGTGCAGATTTTTGCCCCATGTGCACCTAACCTTCCCTTTTCTTGCTTTTCCTGTGGATGGCAAAGACCTGGTCATTTACGAACTACCACAGTTTCCACAGATTAACTATTGGAAACCAAACTTCAAAGAAAGAAAGGTGGAGTAGACGACTATATCCTCTATAAGTGAGAAATGTGGAAAGTAGGACACAAATTCTGTCAAGATGCGGTTTTGTAGGTTTTTAAATATTAGTCAAAGAACTCTCTCACTTGAATTTTCAGCAAGAATTTAGCTTGGTAAACTACCATGCATATGATAGTGCTAATGACCAAGTAAACTTTAGTGTGCTCCTAAAGACATTTTCTTTTAATTGTCTGTTAAATGACCATGAAGTTTATAGCGGAAGATTCCACTCTCTAATGAAGGAAGACTGAGTAAGAGACAAAACCAATTTGTGTTTTTATTATAAATACTATTATTTTTCACATTTATCTGGTATGTTTTTCCAAAAATGTAGGTGGAGTGCCATGTTTTGTGAGGTGCTGGAGACATGCATTCTGGACATGGGTCAGTCTTTCCACATGCTAATTCTGGATCAAATTCTGCCCAGTGCATGCTCTACTGCTGCATTCACTAGGACTTGCCACCTTTAGTCAAAATTTGGCTCTAATGTCTCTTGGTGCTTCAAAACAATTACAGTCAAATCAGACAAACTTTTCAACATTTTATAATTTGTGTTGAGAAATGGCATTCTGCATTCTTGCTTGTACCATCATCTAATAATATGCCAGGAGTATCCAGATGCTCCTGGTAAGATTCAACCCTGTTCTGAAAACCAAAAGGCCTGTAGCTGAGAATTCAAAAGTCCCCACCAAATGCTCCCAACCATCTGAGGCTGGGATGGAAACTTGCTCCATTGTCATAAGCATGCATGGAAGATGCTACTTTGCTTTGTCAGGGTAAATGAAGGGGGGAAAAGCAACCAAGAAAGTCACGATCTATCCTAGTCTAGTTGCTGTGCAGAGACACAGTGAGAGATGGTCCTTGATACTCAAAACTTACAGGCTAAGGCTGGAGCACACGTAGCTTCATATGGATCAAAAGCAGGTTTTATCAGCATAACAGATAGCTCAGAAGGACGTGTGGTGCCTCCAGCAGTGCTTCCACCCTTAACCACCCTATTTTTCTTTCTTTCTGCCCAGTATATCCCACATTCAGTTTGAAGGGTAAGTTATCACAACCCTTACTTAGCAATTCAGGTGTAAAACAAACCCCTTGTCCTTAGGTCTTCTCAGACTGCCTCTCTTGGTGAAGTGGAGCATGGGGTCATTTGTCACATCTATCTGTTGGGAAGTGGACAAAGAGAAGGCAGAAAGGAGAAACGAGCAGGAGGAATCCTGCCTTCACCTTCACACCAGGCAGGCTGAGGAGCTGCCTGGATAGAGAAGTGGGCATCCAAGCTGTCCCATAAGCAAATGAAACCATTTAGAGCAAAAGAGGAGTAAAAGAATAATCCCAAATATGAGTCACAATTCATTTTCTGAATCAGTGTAGCTGCACTTCCCCTCTAACGCAGGGCAACCTGCAAAACTGCAATATGGTTCTGACTAGATGAGACAGATGAGTGGGAAAAGTGAAGTAATAATAACCATTGAGTGGTGTTTAGTATAATAAAGAAATTGTTTCTCCTCAGCAGGTAAAGCCAAGTGCTATAATTCACTGAGTAGAAGGAGGAGACACCTGGCAGCTTGGCACCACTACTAATGAAGCCAATAGCCTTCTCTGCTTTCACCTTTTGGCTGGCTCTCATTCTGGCTGGCTTCCTTAGCATATGCATCACTGGCAGTTTTGTGAGAAGTCAGAAGAACCATACGCTAATTTTCACCAAGGAAAACACAATTCGCAATTGCAGCTGCTTGGTGGATATCCGTGATTGTGATTACTGCCTAGCAAACCTGATGTGCAATTGCAAAACTGTGCTGCCTTCTACCATGGAAAAAACTACCTACAAAAGCCACCTGACCATTTGGTTCACAGATGCCTCTGTGCTGGGAATGCTCCTCAACTTCACAAGGGTGTGGGATTTGAAGCTGTCCTTCTGTGGCACCACTCCTCTCCCAACAGAATACTTGGCCATTTGGGGACTGCGAAAGCTCCGGGTAAACAAGGTCAAGGGACTATTTGCAGAGCAGAGCGTAACCATCCACAGCAGCAACAACAATGAAAAAGACTCACTTGCAGTGCACAACAAAGACAGGCAAATGTTTGTATATATTTCTTTTCTGGACACCTCGCTTTTCAATGGATATTCTTTGCTGAAGTCTTACAGTGTGGAAAACGTCTCTAGTATCACGGAGCACTTTCCCAGCCTGCTGTACTCTGATGTTTTCTCAACCTCAGATAACAGGAGCTATGTTGTAACATTCATTTACTGAGTTATTAAACATATTCAGTTGTCAGAGGCATGGCAAACTGCTAAGAGATAGATGAGAATTCCTTACATCCACTTGGTTTGGCCAGGAGGACTGTTACGGGATGGACAATTCTGACTGTGATAGCACTCTACAAGGATGTGTTTAAAGTAAGATAGACTTGTCAGACTAATTCAGTAAACACTTTCTTAAAGAACAAAGAAAATGTGGAGCAACTGCTTTAGAAAGCATCGATACGAAATCTTTTTATACACTAAGAATTGAAAGCTGCAGGTAAATTTTATTTTAAGGTTCTGCCTCAGACAGAAAAAGACATAACCATGTACCTCCAGTGGTAGAAAAACCTGAGCCTCCCAGAGAATCACCTGGATTAGATGGCAGCTTGGGAGGTCTCCAGTCCAATCCCCGGCCCCAAAGCAGTGCCACCTCTGGGATCAGACCAGACAGCTCAGGGTTTTCTGCAGTCCAGTCCCGAAAACCCCTAAGGACAGAGCCTGCACCTCACTGGCCAACCTGCTCCACTGCCTGCCTGTCCTCATGGGGAAACTTTTCTCCATGTAGTAACCTCAGTCTTCCCTCCACCAAGCTGAGCAGGTGAGGAGGAGTTATGAGGACACCTATGCAAACACCACTGGCCTCAGTGGAAGGAAGGAGGAGGAACAGGGGGAAGGTACACCAGAGCAGAGATCTCCCCTGTATCCTGTGGTGAGATGGCAGGGCCACCCCCCTGCCACCCATGGAGGTGCTTAAAGTAGACTGCGACTCAGGGAAAAAGAAACCCCCACTGTTGTAGTTTGGCACTGGGAAGACCAACACCTGGTGGTGACCCATGCTGGAGCAGCATGTGAATGGCTGCATCCCATGGGAAGGACTCACACCAGAGAAAGTCCATGGAGGACTGTCTCCTATGAGTGCAGAGCCATGTGGAGCAGGGGAAAGAATGCAGAGGAGTGCTTTCCCCCGCCTTGGAGGAAGAAGCGGAGAACTGACTGCGCCCCCACATCCCCTGCCCCTGTGCTGCTGGGGAACAGGGGTAGAGATATTGGAACACAACTGAGCCCAGGAAGAAAGGAGGGGTGGAGGGGAAAGTGTTTTTAAGATGTGGCAATGCTTCTCACTGTCCCATTCTGTCTAGTAAGTGTTGCTGTTGTTAGTGTTTCGCATTAAAGTGACGCTCTTTTTTTTAATTCCCCATACAAATCTGTCTTTTGCTTGTGACCGTAATGGGTGAGCTACCCCTCTCTAGCCTTGTCTTGATTCCCAAACCTTTTGCTTTATTTTCTTCTTCCCATTCTTGAGGGGGAAGGGGTGAGTGAACAGCTCTGTGTGTTCAGTCACTCTCTGGGCCTAAACCACTACACAATACAAGGGGAATAATCCCTTCCCTCTGTCTACTGGCTGTGCCCCTGTTGATATAGCCTACTGCTGTCAGGTTCAAGGGGTGCAAGGTGGTCACAGGTTACTCACACTGTGAAAGCTGAGTTGTCCTTGCCCTCTGGTACTTGGTCAAAGCTGGGAACACTCTGCTCAGGCTGGGTGACACAGCCTCTTATGAAAGCAGGGACGGGCTGTGCGGGCAGCCTCCGACCTCAGTACACAACTGAAGGTGTGTTTAGGGGCTGACCAAGAAGCTGTGTTCTCTGCCAAGCCATGGCACACACCATGACAAAGCACTGGCCAAGAGGCCACCTGACAGGTGAGACACCACACTTACAAAGGTGTTTTTCCCAGGGAAAGGCCTGTCTCTTGCACATTGGGTGTGCCCATGCCTGCAGTTTCCCCAAATGCAAAGAACTTGACTTCCTCATTTGTGATAATGGCAAGCTCTGCTCGTGTAGTCCCCTGTGAGAAAGAAGAAAGACCCCATCCGATGACTCTCATCTGATAAGGCAGGTGAGGCTTCTGGCAGACATGTAGCAAACAATTTTGAGATGCGTTGTGGGAAACAGATTACCATCCCCTTAAAAGCATGTCAGGACTATTTATATAGCCCAAAGTCTGCTACTTGCCCATGTCTGCAGGATTTGCCTCCTATGAGATATAAATAAGGCTGGGATCCATCTATATAGTACAATAAAGGCTTTGAAATAACAAGTCCTAACAGTCATATATTGCCAGCAAAGAATTACATGAAACTACTGGGATAAAATACATGTACTGAGGGGAATGGCTATCAAGATTCTGATGAACCAATGAATTTGCTTCAGCAACTTTAAAGAAAGACTTTTTCTATAATTGTAATCAATGACGGAGTACTTTTGCTAGGAAGCAAAACTTAATTATTCAGAATACTTGAATACATGCACACCTTCCATTACTGTGAGCTTTCCCACTGAAATCAACAATGCGGTAACTATTAAATTAATGAGGTCTATTTGCAATTGCAAATTAACAGATTTAAGCACATGGGTATTTGAAGGCTGGGGATCGAACTCAATTTAACTCAACCAGAGAACTATTAAATCAGCTGTTGTAAAGATGTCATTTTCTTTGTCAGCACCCTGGCAAAAAACGTAAGCCTTCTCCCCAAATCACAGATATTTCTAGCAATACCTTTCACAATGGCCTCACAGGTTACAAAATGGTTAGGAGCTGGAGCTATGCTGCAGAGATTGGCGGGAGGAGGTGTTTTGAACACACTACATGCCTGGAATGTATTACAGACACAGGCAAATAATTCATATTGTCTGCCCAGGAATCCCATGCGCCAACTGTCTGTGCAAGACTATTAACTAGCTAGTCACTAATCCTGCACAGGAAAAAAAAAAAAAAAAAAAAAGAAAAAAAGAGCTGGCACACAGATAATATTGATTTTTAAATGTTACCGACCCTCTCTAAAATCTGGGAAAATCAAACCGAAGTGATCTTCAGCGAATTCACTGAGGCTCTGCTGCCCTCTAGTAACAAACGTGCTGAGTAACACTGTACTTCCACATTGCCGTGACAGCAGTGGTTGGCTGCTGTTACTGTTCAAAATTCACACATGCAGCAGTAACTGAGAACTGTCTGTATTCTGACCTTGTCGGGAAGAAACCATGAGATTAATAAATCCATGTGCTTTCTAACACTGCAAATTACAGTTTTGGTTACTTTTGCCACTGTAATGTTCTGAATAAGACTGGTGTAAAAGACTTTTATTTTTTTTTCCTGTATCCAAGTAAGCACTGCAGAGATTTTCCTGGAATTAGGAAAAAAGCCTCCTCTCAATTACATGCGCAGCAGAAGCCCACAGCACCAATATTGCAGTGATCTTTTCAGCTCCCCTGTTCATCTCCAGCAGATACCAAGAACCTGATTCTCCCGGTTTCAGTTTTATATGGCTTTGCCATATCAAAGTACTGCATTAGAAGCTTGCAGAATTTTTTCAGACTAATACATACAAAACATATTCCACATATGTTGTTTTATTAGTTTTATTGGTTCTTTTGTCTGCATGTAAACTACACAAAGCAGTACATTAAGCATCACTCTGCAGAAATAAGTATGTGATTTTGTGTGTTTTAAATCCCACTGTACAATATGCTTCACCCCACTCAACACCCTATGGTATTTGATTGTATGTTTATAGCAGTTAGTATTTATACACACAATGGTTTCATTCTCCATGTATCAGTTTCAACCTGTATGTATTTGCCAGTGACACATGCTTACTGGCTATGCCAATCAATGGAAACTGAGGTGGTATTTTTGCATGTCAGAAAAAAATTAAGTAGTAGCTGTAAATTTAGTTTTCCTTCCTACTAATAATTGGTAAGTCAATACATATTGAGAACAGCACTAAGGCAATGTGGTGCTTTCTATGGGAGATCTTGCTGTGCAGCCAGGCCCCCTACATCTCCTCCTGGGTAGACTCTCAGGGTGGCTAGCAAGGGGAGTGCAGCCTTCCTCATCTGGTGGGAAGGCAGAAAAGAAGCTCCTCCAGTTCCCAACACCTGTACTTGCAGAGACGATCTTCAGAAAGGCCAGTGATCTTTTGGCATCTGCCACCAAACCCACAGTTTTTATTTTAGTCAACACGGTGGCCACTGAGGCTGACTCAACTGACTTCTAAGAACGCCCCAGCCCAAGGGGACCTGTACACAAAACATGCTATTTACTTAGCACTAGTGCAGAAGATCTCCACATTATTTGCCCCCTTCCAAGCCAGAAGCCAAGATCTCCTCAAGGAGGGCTGGGGCTTTCCGGCAGAGGCCGTGCAGAGACCCGGCTGAGATGAGGGAGGCTGGGCGCCGCGTGGGTACTTGCACCCTCTCCGGATACCCGCTGCTGCCACAAGCTAGCTATGGAAAACAAGCCCCCGGGGATGGGGAGGCCGGTGCTGGGCGCCCCCCCTTACCCCGTGGGGGCACCCGCCACGTCCCCCCCATCGCCGCGGCGTC